CCGGGCGGCACAGAGCTCCGGCCGCACACGGGCACGGCCAACACAGCTCGACACCAGGCAGGACGGCAAAAAGTGTTCATTTCTCTAAAATGAAGGCAGAAAACGTTCCGAAACACTCTATAAAAAGAACGGTCTCTCACCTATGAACAACAGCATGCTGCCAGCAAATTTCAAGTAATAAATACAATTCTGTACAGAAAATCCCTAAGGCACAATCTTTAAATAAAGCAAAAAGGCAGTAGTCTACATAGAAATACCAATCCCTTGGAATCACACAGCTCCATTTCCTTTGATTTGAAACAGGAATTTAAAGGATACTGGCACAGAGGTTTCTGAATGCTGTATTTCCAAACTGTAACTTAACTCTCAAATATTCACATTTTACAACAGAGAACACTAGCCATTTGTACAAGACTAAAACACAGGTAATAATGCCTTAAACACATCTGAAAACAAAACTAAAACAAACCAACACAATACACCACAAAAAGGCTACTCCTCACCAGCAGAGGGGCTGGTGCCTGAGCAATGGCTTTCCCTGCAACAGATGGGCCCTGCTCAGTGACTGACTGGTGGTCTTTTCCTATTCCCCCATTGTTTATTCAGAGCCCTCATCAGCTTGGTTTCTCTGACCCGTTTTGTGAAATTATCCAGTGTTCAACTGCATTTGCTGTTTCAGAGCAAAATAAATATCAAAGTCTCTTCCCTAAAAACATTTAGAAAACCAATTCCAAACCCAGGCCCTATTTTCTTCTCCCATTTCAAAACACCAATGGACGAGATGGTCTCTTGCTTTGGTTTTAAAAAAAGAAGTGAATTGGAAACATGGAAAAATCACACCGTTCCCACCCAGCCAATTCTTAAAGCATTACTTGTACAAACAGTACAAAATTCTTAAACAGACTTTAAGCTCTGATCACGTTTTACCCAAAACCCCTGAGAAAACAGAATTAACAAACCCCAACCACCCTGAAATTTTACCAGTCTTACCATACAATTTTTTTTTTTTTTTCACAGGTTTAACACAGCATAAATTGGCTAAACTTCCACTCTTGGAAACTTTAAGGCCTGCTAGCACAATCCAGACTAACATGCTACATGTCCATTACAGAGACTGCTGTGCCAGGGTGCCAGTCAGCTGTGCAGTTTTCAGGTGCTGCAGATGCTTCTGCTCTTATGTAGTGGTTTTGGGAGTTTCAGGAATACAAGTTCTCCTGGCTCTTCATGGTTTTCAAGGACATCCCTGAGCTTCTGTTATCTTTCTGATGAGGAACATCTTGTCACGACCCTCCTGGTAGGACAGAATAGAAAGTAAGCTTTAGATGTACAAGTTATCTATGAACAGCCCACTCCTTTATTAGAAATAAAGGGATGCACTCACCACATTGTACTCTCATTAGTGGCTCTCAGCACACTCTCAACTGCCTGAACAATTTTAAGTTTACAATATTCTTGACTTCATTTATCTCATGTTACGTGACAGATTAACAGTTCTACACTAGTAAAAACACCTCACACATATAAAAACTTAAAACCATCCTCCAAGAAGCCAAACAACAGTGAACAAACAAAACCAAAAGCATGCAAGACTTTCAGAATTCCTGATTTGAGGAGCCTTGAAAAAAACAGTGAGACTTTGCTCCTGAATTCCTTACTCTTCAAAAATCCCTCCCCATCACAGTGTTTATTTCTAAGGACAGGCTGTCAAACATTCTACCTAAAAAAATCACATTCCAAGAAATGGGCTATTTCCTAGGAAAGTGAGAAGTCTTACTAGTGAGGCTAGGTTCTGACCAGAGCAGAGTTTGACAGCCTACAGTATATGAATGCTGTCAAACATGGCAGCAGCTTTTGAGGGCCACAAAGAAGTGTGTCTGCATTTCCACTGTTCTCCAAAGGACTAGTTAGAGGTGACTTGCTCCACTGTGAGTACCTGCTGCAAGTGCTGCCTGGACCTGCACTGAGGAATAAAACCAGACATGACTTAGAAGGTGGCAAAGGCCTCGAGGGAAGGACAGGGAGTTGGGCAACTGTTTGTGAG